ACTCTACATATCTACTTTCTTAAGCCTGGCAAAATTATGTCAAAAAACAATCAATAATTCACCACAACATGATGACAAAATTAAAAATTACCATACTATGGCTTCTTTGGGCAAAAAAGGGAAAATAATACACTAGAAAATTGCATTTGACCACTGCCACCTTCATCAGAAGTCTTACATTTGCAATGAGCTCTTGCTCACACCCACACAAATGCAGGTCTATAGCCAGGACAACAACTGAGGGGACAGATATGTAAACAAGCTTCTCATATAAACAAGGTTCCCATGGCCACTTAGATTTTTAATTTACTTGTTTCACTGTGCTCAAAGAAACTGTGCCTGCACAAAGAACTATAATAGTTACACAGAATAATGCTCATGTGCATGGAATTGTACTGATTTTAGGACCAACCGTTAAAGCAATAGAAGAATGGAAAGGAAAAGGCTGAGTTTGCCTGGAGAACCTAGAAGACAGGAACGTTCTTTAAAGTAAAACATATTGTGAATTCTTTCCTTCTTGACTTCAGTAGTCCAAGCCTAAATGAGCCAAAAAGCTCTGCAGAGCTCCCAGAAAGGTCTAGCTACTGAAACCAAATATGAACCTTCAGTATAACTTAACACGCTTCATACTCCTGGCTGTTGCTGATGTGTAAATGCAGTTTTTCTCACCCAGAATGCAATTCAACTGTAACAAGAATGTGATTACCTCCGCAAGTGCCACAAAGCAAAGTAGTATAAGGACACATACAGCATATTAAGAAAACCTGTCTCCATCAGAATGGTCAAGCTCTTTCTGTGCGTGCAATAACATTATACTTACAAATATTATGTACAGATGAAGTTCACATTCTAACAAATGTATTTTTATAACAAACAACCACTGATAAGGAAATGTTTGCTGTTCAAAGACCAAAAATAGATTATGACTTTTTCACACTTACAATTACTGTTATATTATGCATTTATGTAGGAAACAGATATGCATCATACTTTTGTACTATGTCCTTAGACTGTTTGGCCATTTGCATTTCATGCTGTCCTGCTGACATGCAAAATCAAAGTGTTTCTACAACGGTTGCATTAGAGAATTAACACCTTTCTTAGATAAATACGGGAGTTCGTATCTCAGAACTTTCAAGTAGGTTGTCTGGAAACTCAACTTCTTGCCCCTCCCTCTCTAACTCACTAAAACTTAAACTAATAACAACAACATAAATCTAATTATATATTGACTCTTCACTGCCCATACCTCTTAATGGTGTGTGTGTGGGGGGAAGTTACTTTTTATGTTTTGACTGATGTGTATGTCCTGTATCTTGTCTCAGGAGACAAAAAAAATGATCTTGAGCAGTGAAAGCCCTTAACACCTACGGTGCAGCCTGAGTTTCATTGAACTTGAGCACAGGAACTGGTGGGCAATGTGAATATTTGAAGATGTCTATTAGGCAGTTATGGGTCAGAATCCTAACCAATTCTCAGAGTACGGTATGTAATTATTGTCATAATATATGGTCCACTTAAGAAAGATCTTTTTAGCTTAAGTTAATGAAATTTGAAACCATTTGGTGGATTCCCAGGAAAGGAAAAAATTTAAGCAAGTTGTTTATGTTTTGATATGATAATTCACATAAAATATAAGTGCCCACAAAAGGAGGGAGAAACATAATACTATCATAACAAACATTTTTATATCTAGCCAATTTCTAATGGCTGCTTCCTACATTGTATTTTTTTTTTTCCTGTTGAGAATACTGTAGATCATCTGCTAATTTATTCCTGTTAACGCAAGCAATACAGATCCCTTTCTCCTTAATTGCCTCAGCTTAAATAATTTAGTTATTTCTTGGAAAGTCAATGCTTATAAAGAGAAGAGGAAGAGAACTGTTTACAGGTCACTCTGGATTTTGCCCAACTGGTCAGTTCATGTGCTTCTTAGTGTATCTTTGCAGTATCAACAACAAAAACGAAAATCAGAAAGTGGCAAGTGAAAAAAAGGGAAGCAACCACCAAGCACTCATGAACTTGGCTATTAAAGGAGCAAGAAAGTTATTTGATATAGTTCAATGTTATAAAACAGAACAGTAAGGCAAAGGGTAAACACTCAGCAATCAGCTGCAAATCTACTTAAGCAAAACAAAACACAAGCTGCCAGATGTCGTCTTAATGACTAAAGTACTTGCTTCGGCTGAACTATTACCAATAGGAAAAGTGGAATTTTACTGCTGCTTGCCTGCCTGTTGTTTTACTAATGTGGAAAAGGAGGTTTCACATTTTTCACATTGACGTACAATTCGGATATTAATGTCAGGTTAGAGGAAACCCAGTTCAAAACAATGTAACACATTCTTAATTTTTCTCTTTAAAAGAAAATATTCACAAAATAATTAGGCTATATAAATTAAGGATATAGGGAGAAGAAACCAAAATCTTTAGCAGAGTATTTCCTCTTGACACTCAAGTCATAAATAAACAGTGATACAACCATTTCTAAAATACTGGAGAAACGGTCAAAACCATTATTTGGCATATACTTCTACATCACTGCGAGGTCACTGAGTCACCAGAGCACTACTTACTCATAATCTAGATGAAAATAACAGTCATGGAGGCACATATATATATATATATATATATATATAATTGCATACACAGCTCAGTGGAGAATTAGCATTTCTTGGAGCCTATGACAAACAGTTCATATCTCCTTTCTACCCAGTAAATATTCTCTTATGGTTCAAAAGATCCCCAAAACCATAAAGAAACAATTTGCTTTGCTCTATGCAATAACCTGAAAGCTGAAGCTTAGAGGGAGGGGAAAACAAAGCAAACACACCCCCCCCCCAAAACCAGAACAAATTGGCATTTAGGTCATACAAAGGCCCATGGACTCCATCTTCTCTTTCCACATTGCTGCTTAACAAAAGAAATCTAGGAGGTTCTTTCAAGACCTCACTCAGAGGCTGGTCCATGAGCAAAAGGCCTGGCTACTGCTTAAGACAAACCTGAAAAAACCTACAGGTGCAGAAAATCTTTGAATTACAAGTCTTTTGCTGACTTGATGCCTTAGTACATCCATATTTATCAATGCCTCACAAAAGACAGATAGAAACGTGATATAGCGCTTAGAGAAGCTTATTACCATTTGCAGTGTGCTTCTTTTTCAAGTTCCCAAATCATGAGACAACTTACAAAAGTTATAAACAAAACACTGAGTTAAAAAATATTAGAAAGGTAGTAAAGTCATACAGTGAAAAACTAGGAAATTCTAGTTTTATAGTTACCTGACCAAGCTTAATCCTATCCTTTTGTACTTCTTAATGGGAAATGTCAACTCAGTCACCTAAACAGCTCTCTTCTAAGACATAGAACATTTACTACAGTAATTCATCTAACACATGAGCTATGAACAAGTCTGTGGGGTTTGTAGAAGCTTGCAAGGAGTGTGTCTTGACGAATTGCTACTCTGTTAGCCTAGTACTTGTCTGAGTCCATGCAACAATGGCAATTCTCACATTTAGGCAACATTAGACACACCTGGCTTTGTGTTTGAAGCATTAACAGATTTAAAGTTGCACTTTTAGCTACAATTGCTACCTGAGCATCCACAGCAGCTATAGACATATCCTGGACTTCAGGATTACAAAGCCATCTCACCAAGTGGGGGTTATAGCTCTACTTACAGACAAAAGCAATTTCCTTTGGTTGTCTCATCTCACCCTTTTGAGCTACTGATTTTACCTACTCATAGAGAATAATTTTGAGCATTAGACGCCCAGCCTTTCTGACCCAGGAACAGATGTTCCCCTCAGACTGTTTCTCAAACCATAGAGAGCAAAACATTTTTTCTGAAAAATATGGCTGCTACTAACAAGGCTAAAAGGGCTACTACTGTAACAGCAGAAATGCAAGCAGATATTAACTGAATGTTTATACTAATTTCTCAGTTTAGTTATTGCTCTTGTAAAAAAAAAAAAAAGCATTCAGTTTACTATACAGCTTTCTTTTACTGGACCTCAATAGCACCTCTTCTCTCATTTGAACAGGATCTTAAGTCAGCGGCAAGACTGCTTCAGAAAAAATGCTGTTAAACTGACTCTTTTATATGAATATCAACATAAAAAAATTAAAAAGTGGGAATAAATTTTTGTAGTCATCAGTGATTTAATGAACTGCCATTATGTAAGAACTCCTGAATTTATTGTATATTTAACTAAACTGACTTTTCTGGCCTTATTCATAGACTTTAATTAAAAATATGTTAAGATCTAATTCAGTCCTAGTTTCAGTTATAAGCTGCAAAACTTAATCCAAGATACTGATTAAAACAACTTTGATTTAATTTTTACTTATCTAATGTGCAATGATCTAAAACTCTTTAAGTACTATAAAGAAAGTAATTTTTATTCTGCAATATGTTCTGATCTTGCAGATTGCACATCGGATGATTTATAATATGGTGGTAAGCTGCAAATATTGCTTTTAGTAGGGAATTGGTATCTAAACCAAACACTGCAAGACTGTGAAAAGTAATCAAGAATGTGATCAAGGATCTAATAAAAACTTTCTTGACTAGAGATTTGCTTCAAAGGTATAGGATAACATTTCTACTTTGAACCTGCTTCAATTGGATGTCTGTCATTTTCAGATTCAATTTATGATTCAAAATTACTATAGTCATTGTGATGTGGAGATAGTACATAGAAATATGAAACACTTCATTTTAAATATTTAAAATATATAACCTATCCACTGAAATTAGTTGGCAACTGGTTACAGCAGAGGAAAATTGGCGGGAGGCAGAATTTTATTTGAGAGAATTAAATGGCATTCCAAAGACGTATTTCCAAAAAATATGACAGAAGAGTCGTCATTGTTCTTTCCTTTCTTGCTATAATCATGTCATTTTCAAAAGTTACATCTTCTATAATCTCCAGCCAAAGCTGGACAATGAATGTTAATGAAGTTTAACAACAAATCCAATAGCAGAATTTATATCCTACCTCTTATTAATGGTAGCCCATGTTGCATTAATGTTATCTGTCATCAGTTCTACTTTTCTGGTGTCATCTGCTGAATAATCACGGAGCAGCTTAAGTGCCATGTCATTTGCCACATCTACATTTATTTGCCATTGTCGTATTTCTTTTGAAAATTGCTGAAAAGAGAAAGAAAAAGAATAAACCTCAGATCACCATAAAATGCTCACACACACTGGATAATTATTAGAGAAGAAGATGAACAACTTATACCATCAATATAAAAAAAAAAAAAAAGAAAAAGGACTTCCTCAGATTTACTGGTAAATAAGGTCAGTGGTCTTTCTAAGTGTTTTAATTCTTTTAGTCACAAGATCATTGGACTACTCCTAATATCTGAGAGGACCAAGCAACCAAATCCTAAATACCAGATAAAACATGACAGCTCAAACTGATAAACACTGATTAGAATGTTGATTATTCTTTTCTGAGACACAAATAGGTGGATGCATTATTATGTGTTATGAGAACTATTTTGTGATGTTGAATTATACTGAGATGAAAAAATACAGTGAAACAATACGGCTAATTTTCTTTTTTTTTTTTAAATATTGTGGAATAATACTGGGATTTGGACAATTAATACCCATGCTTTCACTTTTTTAAGAAATTATTTTAGTGAATAGTTTATGTAATTAGTGCCATCTACTGGAACAGCACTAAATCTGCAATACAGCAAAATACTACTGGTAAACCTATCGATATCTTTATAATGCTAATTTATGCTTCTTAGTATTAAGAAAGCTTTTTAAATCTTGGTCATTCATTTTCTTCCCTTTCCACTCCTCTTTCTCCTCTCCTCTTTTTCTTCCCCTCTCCTCTCCTCTCCTCTTCCCTCTCCTCTCCACCTGTGCCAGCTGTCTCACTACAGAAGTAAGCCAGGAAATCCGGAATGCTCATGCAGCCAGCAACCAGCTCCCATGCATCTTTCCTGTTAGTCTTTTTCTCAGAGCAAATTTCCATATAAATGCACTGAAATTGCACATTTAATCCATAATGTGTAACAATAAAATGAAAGAGCAAAGACAATTGATGGTCTTCTTGTACTTTTGTACTAGGCAAAGACTACAACTAGCCAACCAAAGGGATAATGAAAGCAGAAAAAAAGTTTGTATTTGTAAACAGAAACAGTAAGTTGCATGTAAACATTAGAAGCAATCAACAAAAAAACAAACAGTAAGTTTTGACTGTCTTTATTGTTGTGCTTTAAAACACAAATCAGGAAATGTCTGTGAAGAAAAAATAGGTTTTCCTCTCTCATTCTCCCAAAGCAGTATTCCTTTTAAAATCTTGTTTTGACTCTGATGAATTCTCCACACAAAGATGAACTTAAATATGTAATCCCTGATCAAAGAGTCTAAATACTAAGTAAAATAAATAGATTTTGAATCATTTGTGCATTTATGATTTCATCTCAGAAAGTCTGTAAGTTGGTTTTGATTGACTGGGACTGAAATGTACTTGATCGTCAAAGAGTCCAGGTGGAGTTTTTTGGGGTTTTGATTTTGATCCCAAACTCTTACCTGTTAAAAAGCTGTTTCAACATCTCTAGGTCCTCTCCATAGTTTAACACTGAAAGCATGTATTTCTTCATTCTCCTGTGTTATTCCTTCATGAGAAGGCAGATCACCCAATTACTGTGCAGCAGATAACCTCAGGTACTAAGACAGCAACCTGATTATCTGTTTTGAAAAAGGATCCTATTTCTACCAATCAAACATTAGGAGAAGACTACTAACCCCCACTTCCAAAAACCATCTGAACATGTTATGGTTACGCTCGCTTAAGCTGAAGCTGCCTAAACACTTTTTTTAAAGTCATTCCCCTCTGTTAAGTATGGAGATGTGGTCAGGAGACGTGATAATGTGGAAAATTACTTCTCCTTTGGAGAAGATACAGGCACGTGGTTATTTTGGAAATAATCTGCCAATAGAGGTCCTTTCCTGTCAGAATTATATACAATAAATATATAAATGTTAATATTTACATAACTATAATAAAAGTTATAAAACAAAAAAATAAATAAATTCTACAGTAATTAACATTTCATTTTCATAGACCTTTTATAGCAAGTACCTATTCTACATTTAGATCTATCCATCTTTATTATACTCTACCTTTCTCTTTGTTTAAAATTATGCATGCATACAGGTATTTTTTTTCCAGCCAAAGAATCACAGCAGACTGATTGTTCACTGCATTAGATAGAAAAGTTACAATAACATTCTGCCTGTGTTGTAAATTAATTGCCTGTAAACTTTATTTTGAAAGTAAGTTCTTTTTGCCCAGTCCCATGTGAATATAAATGACCTTATAAAATCTTCCAATCCCAGTTTTATACTAAAAATACGGAAGGATCCATTACAAGGTTATTTCCAAAAGTGTTGTTCTCACCATTAACTTCAACATTAATCCATTAACTTCCTGACATTACAACACTAGCTCATCACTCAGGAAAGAAATGATGAATATGGAGAGCTTTGCCGACAGAAACAATTTGTATTTTCTACTTTATGGGAAATTGGTATGTAATTTTTCAATAACTTTGAGGAGTCCATGCCTTGCTTCAACTTTGCTCAGTGTGCAGACATCGAGAACAAAGTGTTCTGGTAAATGTTTTAACTGTCTGTCCTACCAGAGGCCCATTGACTCCTATCTTACATGACTATGATGAATATTTTAGAATTAAATTCTTGCCATTTTTTTTTTTTTTTCTCTTTTCCCTTTTATATTTTCAGGTCTCATTTATCTTTTAGCTACTTTAGAACACATTTGATTTTTTTTTTAATGGGAAAATGCTTCATTACCTTAATTTAATTTTGACATTTTTTTAAGCATTCTTTTTGTTTTGTCTGTGTCATCACTCAAATTTGCTGAGTTTATGAAAAGGCTTAAGGAATTAAGTCTGTGCATTTATCATGTTACTTAGGTATTAATATATTTTTAATTTTTAATTAGAAGACACTAGTTGATGTTATTAGGAAGAAAGACTGTGCAATTAAGGATCGCTGATTAAAAACAAGTAAGGAAATCAGAGCTGGGCTTTCTTCTATCCCAGGATTGCCCAATGGAACAAAGTAAATCATGCACAGAAGTTCAAATATAGCAATATGTATGTACAGCACCATCTATTTCTGAGCAGATGAGTCCTTACACTGAGCAGGTGTATATATCACAAATCTGGAAAATCAGGCTTTCTGTCATTTTTTTGTATTTCTATAGCACGTTTTATTTATATACTTAGTTGGGGGTTTTTTATCAAGGAATTCTAGTTCAGTGTCTGCATCATAGCCAATAACATTAACTTAATTGTTATTGTTTTACTAAAATCAAAGCAGTATACTGTAAGCTCTTAAATAATAAATATCAAGACTGTACTTCATCTTACATTGGTACACAGGGAGTGGCAAAAGAGTATCTAAGAAGTTGCCCCCCTGCAAGAAAATGACAAAGACAAGTAAGATAGTCTCAGTCTTATCCACAAATCCAGGGCATAAAGTCCACACCCTCAGGCTATGCTAGTGGAGGGTTGCCTGACCTCTTGAGTCCCAACAAAGCAGTGGATGTAATCAGGCTGCTATTCAATTTCCTATTTAGATGAACAAGAAATAGGTGGCCAATGAAGGAAAGAAAGAAACCTTGTCCCCATCCTTCCTCCTCTTCACTTTGGCCATCCCAGCCAAACTGGTACAGAGGGAGAAGAGATGCCTCACTAGCTCTTACCAAAACAAGGAGCCAAGAAGTGAACAATCCTACCAGGTTTACTTTTTTTTAGTGTAAGCTCTGTACTGTATTAAGAGGAGACTAGTTTTACAGTAGTTTATGTTCAGATGACTTGGGGATGGAGCTGGTCTGACTGTACTATTTATACACCTATAACCTTCAGCCTGCTGAGTTAACCATCTGCAGTCATTACTTAATAAACAATAACCAACACGGCTTTAACAGGTAAAGACTCTCACTGGGCAGAATGCCACATTCTGATTTCTGATTCTCTGTGCCTAACTCAAGTACCTAGAACTTCGCTCTCAAATATGAAAAAAAAAAAAGAAAAAAGAAAAAAATTGAAAAAATGTTCTAATCCTCAGCAAATTAGCTCTTAATTAATTTCTGATTCAAAGGAATAATATTTTTAATTATCAGCTATATGGTACCTGATGGTACCTGATTACTTTCAAATGTCAGAAACATCAAATTCTATTAAAAACATCATTGGTCAAATACAAGCCAATTACAGATTTTCGTTTCATGGTGGCATTGTAAAAAAAAAAAAATAAAAAAAAATAAAAAGACTTGTATTGCTGAGCTTACCATTTACTTGTGTGTAAGAATGCACTACCAGAAAAGCATTAACACAAGCATTGATTAAAAGTTCACTTAGAGCAGAGGGGAACTTTTGCACTGACTCAGCTGTCTGTAGGCAGACCTGTAATGTTTAACAAACAAATCAGAAGAATGCTTGGTGACTACTTTCTCACGCCAAGCTGTGTTGAGATACAAAGCTGACAAAATGAATATGTCTGAAGAATTCATTTAAGACTCACACTGACCTCTCTCCCTCAACACAAATGGATAGAAATGACAGCTTTATTTTCATCGGTGTAACAGCAAGCCAAAAGACAGCATACTTACTCTACATATTCAGAGGACAACATCAAAATATATGTGTTTGGCACAGAAGGCTGGAAAGCATTTATTTTGAGGACTTGATATATTTCTAGGTCCTTCAGTTTAGATAATAGTATGCAGAAGAAATATAAAGCTGCTAAACTCAAAAAAGATTTCCATTTTCCTTAGAATTCATGACCCCTTATCTCAAGCATGAACACAACAGCTGATGCTGTCATCTTTGAGAAGCTTTCATGAGGGATTTGACACAACAGGAGTTACTGGGAGAAAAAGATAATTCCTCTAGGAAGGCTGGCGCAAACAAAAGAGGAAAAAAAAAAACAAACCCAAGGAAAAAATAAAAGACACCATCCCCCACCCCGTTCTCTAAGACAGAGGTGAATTTCTTCCAGACTTGAGGGAGAAAAGCTAGGCAAAACCAAAAAAATGAAAGTAAACAACCCTGGAATAGTAGTCTGTTGATGTTCATATCATCATGAGGGCACACCAAATTAAGCTGGACTAGCTGTGACACTGAAATTATAATTATAGACTAATGTGTGTAACTTGACACAACACATCACATTGAATCCAGACTGGGATGGGAATGGCTGAAGATACCAATAGCCCAAGTGCTTCATCTCTTTTAAAGAATGAGTGAAAACAATCTGCAGGTATCCTTTAAAAAGCTCTGTTTATACATAGAGAGACGTTGTATGAATAAGCATACTAGGATACTCTCTCTATAACTTTGGGGATGAAGGAGAAGGGCATATTGTTATTTATCTCTTTGGAGAGCGTTGATCCAAAAACCCCGTAATTCTTTCAAAAAGCATACACTCTTAGATGAACCTCATCTAAACCTCATATATTTAGGTAAAAAAAGTGGACATAAAATCCATTTCTAAAACTGTGTTTTCAACTATTTTCCTAGTTAAGTGATTTGTGTTCAGGACAACACTCCAACACAATGACATAAGACTGTGTTTACATGGAACTGTTTTTTTGTTAATTGAGTCTTTGCAGAGCTGGGACATTGACTGTGTGAAGCTTTTTTTTTTCTAAAACCAAACACTGGGCTGAAGCCAGAATGCTATCTCTGCAGAAAGACAGTGACAAATGGGAGTCTTCTACGCTGAATGACAGTAGTGTACATAATCTATAACTCTTTGCAATACATTAGTGAGTGATTGCCCTTGTTTACCATAATCCACCCTTCCCAAGCAATGACCCTCATAGTACAATCTTAAATGAGAAAACTCAACCACACCTCAGCCTAAAAACAATGGGCTGATAAACGGTTTTATGTTTCTTACAGGCAAGCAAAAAAAAACCACCCCAAAACCAAGCAAAAACCCCAATAGATTTTGTATCTACTTCTAAATATCAGGAATGCAATGAGTAACTGATGATGGAGACAGTTGAAGACCAATCATGCAGATATACATGTACTTCTTCTGGCGGCGAAACCAGTTGATGAGAACCTCACCCCACTATTCTTCGCAGCAGTTCATTACCATTCAGGTGTGCAAATAAGACTGTTCTAAGTCTGCAAAATTCAACCTAACAGCTGAGTGGTGGGAGTTAAAAAAAATTAAAATCTGGTGAGCAGGAGAGAACATATCAGAAAATATTTGTGTAACTATTCTCCCAAATAACTAAAATGTAACGTTCCATTAACATGAAGCCAGGACTCACTTTAAGGGGCTGATCAATTGGCTGGTTTCAGTCTTGTTTTTCCCCAACCAGAAAATGAGGTATTATTAATCACAGCTGTTCTCAAAATTTATTCATGAAGAATGTCACCAGAGTATGACTATTTCCATAACAAGAAACTTAAAATCTGATACAACAGTTAGGGCATATTTGCATTGCTACTTGTGGTATAGCTCAGCTAAGTAAGTTAATTGAGGTGCACAATTTAGCACCTCCAATGAGACAACGTGTGTGCTAAAATCACAAGAGTAGCCATTTCAGGTTTTTTTGCAGTTAAGATCCCTGCCAAGGTTGAACACAGTAAGATTATCTTGACACGAATCTAAAATGCTTGACGTTCAAAATATCTCCATATAGTTTTAAATGTCTTTTTCCCCCTTTTCTTTTCTTAGCTACTTCCAGACAACCTATACAGCTTCACTATCAGTGCAGACAGCCATCCCAATACTACAGGATTTCCCAGTCTGCAGTATCAGTGCAGCTGAGGCTGTTGTACAAAAGAGATGAGAAATACTTCTGCTGAAAAGGTAAGAATTCTTCCTGCAAGATCAGTCAGCTATTTGTTATGACTGATAAGTTAAGACCAATGTCATTCAAGGATTATGTGACACACATTGCAGACTTTGTAAGTTAATTTCTTTCTAATTTTTTTTTGTGGGAAATAAGTGACAAAGAGGTTGTTCTCCATGTGCACTGTCCAACAGCTAGAGCACATTTTCTTTTACAATCTAATTAACTCAAGCAGAAATATTTTAATTCTCAGTAGTGACCTTAAGCTCAGTGTTCTGTTTTTTCAGAGCTTCCACGGTGTAGGAAATGTCTTTCCATGACTCAAGCTTAGCTTTTGCTCGTTCAAGAACCTGTTCAGCTTCTTGTTTAGCTTCTAGCCACTGTGTTGAATCCTTTAACATCTCATGAAGCTGCTGTCTCCGGCTTTGGAGGTGTCCATGCACTTCATCCCACTGGCTTTGTATCTTTTCAACTGGTGAAACACAAAGGAAAAACAAAAGCTGGGTCATTTAAAAGCTTTTTCTTCCTCCTTTTTTAAGGGAGTAAAAAAAATATTTAAATCTTTCTAGAACTGACTGTATTGGAGAGCTCTTGTACTTTTAAGCTGCAATTGCAAAGAAGTTTAGTTTAATAGATAAACTGTCCTGGGTCACACAGTATGACACTATGGTACACAGCATGTGTTTCCATGCGTATGCAGCCAGAAATGCCAGGTTCATGCCTCAAAAAGCATTATGAAACAGGATCACATTTGAGAAAATGCATCAGCAAAAATTTCTCATTCTTACAAAACCAACACAAGGTTTAATATTTTCTGGAGAACAAGTCCTTTAGGGACTTCAGTAATATTAGTTAAAGATTTATTGCAAGATGTAATTAACAGCTATTTTTTGTTATTTCATTAAGGTAAATGTTAGCAGACTGCAAAGGCTAGAAAACGTTCTCATGTGTTCATGTTAATTATAAAATAACAATTAGCTTTATCTGCTATTTGTAAGAAATGTGAATTGTGAGAACTTAATAATCACTAAAATCACTGATAATAAGCATTGTCTAGCATCCAGCATCCGATTTGTCCATAGCAGCATCAGGACACCCAGTCACCCAAGTAGTTGAAGTTTGACAAAAATAAACCCAAACCCCAAAACTCCACGAACACGAGATCTGTGCACTGCACAAAGAAATTGGCATTTTTAATTATTTTTTTTTAATGCCCTGAGGTTAGTCAGCCCAAACTACATTCTTAATACTTTCTTGAAGACTGCCTTACTACATTGAAAATTCACAGGTCTGCAGAGAGGAACAGAGATTCCTAGAGTACTCAGAAAGCAATTGAAATTATTATCAAGCAGTAGTTTCAACTCTGCTTCTCTCACTGCAGGGTTGATTCCAGAACCATATAATCTAAACACTGAAAGCATGGGAAATGCTTCAGCATGGAAACGAGACTTCTACCTATCAGTGCTCTTCCTTCTTCCAAAAGAAGGGATAAAGATCTTTTCATGGACTTCAGCTGAGGTTTAGAGAAAGAGAAAACCTTTCAGCATCCCCTGCTCAAGTCTAGGGAGAAGAACTGTAAGTGCACATGGCAGCATGTTCAAATCAAAGGAAATGCAAAAGGAACTGAAGAAACAGAACTGGAAAACACAAAGTACAATCAGAGCAAAGCAAGGATAGCCTAAGGCCCAAATACTTCAATTTAATCTGAAGCAAATCCAAACCCTCATTTTAGAAAGCTGTATACAAAGGTCACAAAACAACAACTCCTTTCTGTGTCCTATCTGGATGAGGATTTTTTATGTAAGCTTTAGGGTATACCTGAAACAACTAAGAGATTGTGGTCTACAGGAAGGGTCAGTAACAGAAATGTTCCTCAACTGCTCAAGTAAAATCTCTGTGCTATGGCTACTGCATGTGGCTCAAGTGTTGTGCTGGAGGTCTAGGGGTCAAAGACTGCCCAAACAGTTTCCATAGTGTTGCTGGCATATAGGCAATAGCTGCCACCTATTTCTTGCAAATATCTTCTTGAGCTCCTTCAGCCTTAGACTCTGAGACATTCAGTGTGTTATCTTTTGATTCCTGTAAACCTCGAGATTTTGGTACATAGCTGACAAAAGTATAACAGCTTGTTTATGATTATGTCAGCTGTCTATGAAAAAAACCTACAAAAATCTCACCTGTTTTTGTTTTATTATAAGTTTCTATGTTTGTTGGTGTGGGGTTTTTTTTTGGGGGGGGGATAAAGCGATGAATGAAAACTGTTGCAGAATTACTTAAAAAATGGGTCTACAACCATATTAATTCTTCATAATAGCTGCTTTTAATAAGAAATAGTGATATTTCCTATCAAAATATTTATTGATGGATCTGTTCCATAATGTCTCATGAGGTTTCTATCTAAATAAGACATATCTGCAGTCCTTCTCTAGAGACTGTGCTTTTCTCAGCCAGACTGAGTTTTTCATCACATACCACAGTCCTGGGATTCCGTGATGACCAATTCTCCCACCCAAGAGAGGAATGAAGCTGCATAATGAAAGCTGTATTCAGGACATCTCAGGAGCCCATTTACACAAGTGACTATGAATACACAAGTTCCCAATCTATGAGACACATTTTCTCATGAAAATACTTGTGTTATCTCCCTCAAAAAGGGAAAAGAAAATCTTTTGACACTTAAAAAATAACACATGTAACAGTTTTATTGCAGATTGGAATTGAAGAGTTGAGGAAGTTACTAGGTAATCTAAACCCTTCAAAACTAAAATGTTGTTTTCTTGAACCAGTGAATGACAAAATTCACTTAACAAAGTACTTCAGCTGGAGATAAACACACCATGACATCTACATAATTAATCTGGCCTTTCTGAGCTAGAATATACCAAACAGTGTGGTACTACACAAGACAAAATATGTAGAGATAATTTATTAGAGGTCTTTATAATTATGACATTATTTAGTTTAAGGTAACACAAAAATCCCTTCATTACTGTAAGTTTACATCTTCTAAATCATGCTCCCATTTGAATGTGGACTATTGATTGACTTTTGAACAACAAAAAATCTCAAGCCTCTGAAGTTTAAAATACAAGAATTCACTTCCAAAATGTACTGAAAACCACAGTGTGAATCAGTGTCTCTTACGGATGTATTTTGTTCCTGTGGATACTCTTTAGCGGGATGTTTCCCACAGAAGGAAAGGTCAACACCACTTACAGATTTATGCCAAACAAAAGTTCAGAAAATCCAATTTGAGTGTATTTTGTGTTAGAACAGATCCCAGCAACCCACAAACCCCTCACCTGCAGCTAATGACTTACTGACTGCAGATAAGAAGTGTCAGAGAATTGCTATTAAATAATGTTCTTGGACAATAGGAGACAGTTTTTAAAATGAACATCATGGGGCATTTGTGCAAGGGCACTGGAACATATAAAAGGCTTTCTCTGCCTGGATATGAACAGGAATAAATATGAACATATTTAAGAGTGTTTTATAAAATGCCAATGAGGAATCTCAGTGTAGAGTTCTTTCAGCCTGACACTCTGCCTATAGCCTTGGAAGAGTTATTTCTGCTGTCAGGAGTATAAAATCCTTATGTTTACAATGAACATACAGGATTCAGCATAAGGAAAATTAGTTTCTTCTGAAGTCCAATCACACATACCTGAAACCAGGAAGGCAACCCTAGCAAAAAGAAATAGAGGTCCAAAACCAGAAAAATAGAAGAATCAATGACATGTGAAGCAATTGTTCCAGAAGAGGATTTGCCCAAGTGTTGGAGAACTAAAGAAAAAAATTTGATCACTACTTCCTATCTTGAATTTAAAACCTTTGATAAGTAACATTCAATAAATTAAAAAAATACATGAAACAAAGTCAGACAAAAGGCTATTGCAAAGATTACAAAATATCCTGAAACCCAAGAAGAACATTTAATATGGCAAAAAATGTAATGTAATTGTCCTTACTACACTCTGGATTATAAAACATATCACTGAGATAAGACTTTGATCTTTATCTTTTATATATCATTGATCCTACATACTGTGATGACTACACATTGAAAACACATAGATAGAACAAATGGGGCTCCATGTGCACTATTAATTATTACTGAAGCACGGGAATTTTAAATAATTAGTAATGATGACAAAAGCCTTTTTCCCCCATAGTTCACTAGTTTCTGAAGCACCTCAGTTTATATTGCTCATTACAGCTCAATCCTGTGCCTTCTCCATTTCAAAGCCTTTTTTAGTGTGGCATTCCCCCTTTGTATCCAATCTTCCTTTTTTTTCCTCCCCTAAATTTGGCAACAGCACAGTATCTTTACCAACCAATCTGCAAAGAGGCAATCTGTTAAAAGAGAAAAACATTTTCTTCACAGGCTTAAGGAAAAGAAATATTTTTAAAATATTTATCAATTCATATGGCCATTAACTAGTTTTATTTGAATATAAAAACCCCAAAATATTTGACAATTAACAAATCTAAACTGAGTTTGTCAGAAAGACAAAACAGATGCAACAAGTCATTTCCTGAAGTGAAATCCAAACCCTGTCCATTTCCCAGTCACAGTGCTCCTGGCTGAAGTCCTCACTGTACTTCACTTACACAAGTTTTGTGCTTCCTTACTGGAAAATGTCCCAGCACTGCTCCAGTCACTCCCAGTTCAACACTGAACTCCCGCAAATGAATAATTTAGGGTATGGTGAGATTCTCCCAGTATGTAATTTCAAGGTTGATATTCAATTTCCCTTTTTCTTCACTGCTATTCACTAGTTGTTCAACAGTGATTATATCACTGAGCTGGACAAAAGAAATTCTGCTGAACTGACCGCCTACTTAGTAACTTAAAAGAAGCAATAACAAAGCAGAAAACTGCATTTCAGGCAATCAGACACAAGATTACTGTTTTTCAATCTGGTTATCATTGATTTAGTACATTGAGGAAAGAATAATCTCAGTAAAGGACACTGCTGGCTTAAGATGCAGTTTTGTTTACTAACAAAACTTTTTTTACTGTTTTTCACCTACTCAAAGTATAATAGTGAAACAACAAATGAAAATAAATCTCTTTTGCTGTGTTAAAAGTTGCTGTCATTGATAAGACAAATATAACTCTCTTCACTGAGTGAGTTTACTCGCTGCTGTTTGTAATATAATATCAATGGAAACAAGAGAAAAAGAGTCTGAGAACAAGCTGCCAGTCACAGGAGAAATAATGTTCATGTTACTATAAAATACATTTAGCCTATGCAAAGATGAAAAAAGCAATCATTCCATGCCAGTTTGGAAGGTCCACTGAATCCAGCACACAGTCCAAAAAAAGTGAACAAGTAAATGAATAGCAACAGAATTTGTGAGGTAGAAAACCTCCACTTTTCTTGTCCAACAAATTACCTAAACTGCACTCATTTTGCTCTGTAGGAGAGTACTTTTCAAAAAGATTATTGTCAATATATTGACATT